TGGGAGGCTGGGGGGGGATGGTCAGAGTGGTGAGGGGGTGGAGGGATGGACAAGTGGGTGGAGGGATGGATGGATGGAGGGAGGGATGGATGGATGGAGACAATGGGTCAGATGGATGCAAGAGCAGGGAAAGGAACAGGGTGGGGGAATGGGTGACACAACCTCCTGTGGACCAGCCTAAGCTGAGGCAGCTCCATGGTGGGCCCCACGGACCACGCTGAGCTCTGCCCTGTCCCCAGGTGTGGCCGGGACACGGAGGACGAGCGGCGGCTCCTGGGGCTGGAGCTGGACAAGGCAGCGGGGTCCCTGCTCCTGGCCTTCCCCCCGTGCGTGGCCAGGGTACCCGTGGCTCGCTGCCAGCAGCACTCGGGCTGCATGAAGTGAGTGTGCCCGGGGCGGGCAGGGCTGGCTGGGGGGTGTGCAGGGGGCAGGGGGGGTTCAGGTCACCTTCACATCTCCCAGGAATTCACCCCGTGCCGGGATCTGGCTGGGATGGGCTCGGCATGGCTGGGGACACCGAGGCACAGCACAGTGCGGGATCCCTTGTGGGGGCCGGGGTGTTGTGTCCCCCCCATCAGGGCTGATCCCAATGTCTCTGCTCCCTGCCAGGAACTGCCTTGGGAGCCGGGATCCCTACTGTGGCTGGACATCGGAGGGCTCCTGTGTCTTCCTGGAGCCCAGTCCCAGGTAATGCTGCCAGGCCTGGGGGACCCTGGGGGACACGGAGGGGGGACAGTGGGGTCCCCAGAGAGCCTCGGCTCCCAAAACCCCCAACCACTGAGCCCCCACAGACTCACAGCTCACCGAAGGGACCTGGGAGACTCTCCCAGGCCATTTGGGACCCTCTGACCCCCCCCTTATTTACACCCCAGGGTGTCCTTCGAGCAGGACATCGCCGGCGGCAGCACGTCCCACCTGGGCGAGTGCGAGGGTGAGTGCGGGGCCGGGAGGGGACCCGGGGACGCGGCACCGGCCCGCGGGGGTCCCCTGACGCGTCCCCGCTGCGCAGGGCTGGTGACCGAGAGCTTCGTGGACGAGCCGGACGGGCTGGTGTCGGTGAACCTGCTGGTGATCTCGTCGGTGGCCGCCTTCGTGATCGGCGCCGTGATCTCCGGCTTCAGCGTGTGCTGGTTCATCGGGCACCGCGACCGCAAGGAGCTGGCGCGGCGCAAGGACAAGGAGACGATCCTGGCGCACAGTGAGTCGGTGGTGAGCGTCAGCCGGCTGGGCGAGCGGCGGGCGCGCGGCGCCCTGCTGGCCCCGCTGATGCCCAACGGGTGGCCCAAGGAGCTGGGCAAGGTGGCCCAGCACGACCTGGACTCGGGGGTGCTGCCCACGCCGGAGCAGACCCCGCTGCAGCAGAAGCGCTGCCCCGGCGCCCTCCAGAACTGCAGCTGGGAGCAGAGCCACAACATCATCAACGCGGCTTTGCGGGACCCTGGGGGCGGCTCCGGCACGGCCGGCGCCGGGCGCGGGCACGGCGGCTCGGGCCGAGCGCAGCGGGGCATCCCCCTCTCCTGCCACGCCATCCTGGTGGACCAGGAGCTGGAGGCCGAACTCAGCGACTCCTCAGGTGACGGGCACTGGGGTCGGGACCCCCAGGAGGGTCCCCGCGCCCGGCAGCACCCCCACCCCGCCGGCGCCCGCCGCCCGCCCCGCAGCTCCTACGGCGATTTCGGCAGCACGCCGCGCCCCAGCCCCGAGCGCCGGCGGGTGGTCTCGGCGCCCAGCGGGGACGGGGGGGACTTTGCCGAGGGGCCGTCCTGGCACCCCGAGCAGCTGAACTTCAACGCCAACAACGGCACGGGCCGCCCCGCGGGCGCCCACCTCAAGAGGAACCACACGTTCAACAGCGGCGAGGCCGCGGCGGGCGGCTACGGGCGGCACGGGGGGGACGGCCCCGCGGGCCCCGCGGGCACCGGGCACCCCGCGGGCGCTGACGGACCTGCACCACCTCCTGCGCTACGGCGTGGAGCGGACTCCCTCGGGGAAATAGGGTGCCCACCCTGCGGGCGTCCCCCTCGCCAGGACACTGATGGGGGGCCCCCCCCGGCTCCCTGGGGACAGGGAGGGGGTGGCCGGGCAGGAGCTGCGGGCGTGGGGTGAGGTGCTGCGTGGGTGAGGGGCGGGACAGGCACCCCCCGGGTGCCCCCGGAGAGGGTTTGGGGGTGTCCCCCGGTGCCGTGGGGCGGTGCCCTGCGCTCCGGCTGCTTTGCCCCGTATGCCGGGGGAGGGGAGGGGGGTCCGTCCATCGTGTCCCCTCCCCAGGCTGGACTCAGGGCCCGCAGCACCCTGGGAGGGGGATCCCTGGGGGGCAGCAGGATGGACGCACGGACACGGGCGCTGCGCGGTGCCCCCCAGCCCCTCGGCCCATCGGGGGCACCCTGGGGGGCTTCTGGGTGCTGCCACCCCCCCTCCCCCCGGCGATACCCGGCTCGGGGGGGCCACCGGGGTGCGTTGGTTGTGGTGATGGAACGTGGTGAACATTTGGGGTGCGGGGGGGGGTGGGGGCCCCCCAAGCGTGTGTGTTATCTGGGGATGGGGCGCACTCAGCCCCCAGTCTGGGGTCAACCCCTGCCCGATGCCAGCTTGGGGGGTGTTTATCCACCCCTCCCGCAGCACCCCCTCCTGGAAAGCACAGCCGGGCTGGGGGGGCACCGCCGGGGCTGGGGGGGGTCCCCACCGAACCCACTCTCTGCTGGCAAAGGGTGCCCTTTCGGTGCCACCCCCGCCTGGCACCCACGCGGGGTGGCGGGTCGCGGGGGGGGTGGCAGGTCCCCGGGGGTGTGGCAGGTCCCCAGGGGGTGGCAGGCTGTAAATAGGGGCGGGGGGCGGCGGGAGCCTCCCCCCCCCCCGCGGCCATGCATGCGGCCGCCCGCGGGCTGTACCCGCGGCCCCAATAAACACCCGGTTACGGGAGGCGACTCCCCCCCGCCGCCTTGGCGACTTTTTACATCCCATCCCCCGGGACCCGGGATCGGCTGGGGGGGAGGGCACAGGGCTCCCCGTGCTCCCACCCCCTCTCCCTGTGCCCCACAAGGGTCCCCATCCCACTTTTCCCGCGAATTCCCCAGGGATAAGGCAGTGCCAGCACCGTGTTCCCACCCGTGCCACCCGTGCCACCCGTCTGTCCCTTTCCCGACCATCCTGTGCCCCACGGGGGGGTCACCCACCGCCCCCTGCCATCTCCCCCCCGGGCACTGAGGTCCCCTGGCCAGAAGCACCCGCAGGGTCTGGGGGACACCTGGCACCCGGAGGGGCTCTGGTGGCACGGGACATGGGGGGTGGGGACATCTGGCAAAGGGACAGATGTTACTGGGACACTTGGCATTGAGATATTTGGGGTGGGGACACCTGAGGTGGGGACACCGGCCATGGGGTCCCTTGGGTGCCCGGGGTGGTGATGGGCAAGGGACACCTGTCTTTAGGTCACTTGGCTTGGGGACACCTGGCCTGGGGACATTTGGTAGGGAGATGTTTGGCATGGGGACACCTGGCGTTGGGTCCCTTGGGGTGGGGACACCCATCTTTGGGTCCCCTGGGGTGGCACTGGGGACATCTGGCATGGGGACACCTGGTATTGGGGTCCCCTGGGGGGAGGACATTTGAGGTGGAGACACCAAGGAGAGGGGACACACCTGGGGTGGGGACAGCTGAGGTGGGAACACTGACCATTGGGTCCTTTGGAATGGGGACACCAGGGGTGGGGACACCTGGAGAGGGTGGGAACACCTGGAGAGGGGGGCAACACTGGCCATTGAGTCCCTTGGCGTGGGGACACGTGGCAAGGGGACACCTGGGGATGGGGACACCTGGAGAGGGTGGGAACACCTGGGAAGGGTGGGCACACCAACCATCGGGTCCCTCAGCGTGGGGACACGCGGCAAGGTGGCCCCTGTCCCCCCGGGGCTCTGGCCGGGCCTTGTCCGCCCCCCGGGCCGGGGGGTCCCCGCCGGTGTCCCCGGAACCCCCCGGGCACGATCGCGACCCGCGCCCACGTGTCGGGACAGAGCCCCGGCCCCGCCCCGCGCCCCGCCCCTCCCTCCTCATTGGTGGAGACGCGGCACCGCCCCTCCGCTGATTGGCCAACAGTGCCTCGCGCTGGGCGGGGCCCGGGGGTCGCGATCGCGACCGGGGGTCGCGACAGAACCCAACCCCCACCCCCTGTGAGTACCGAGCCCGGGGCTTGGCGGGAGTTGGAGGGTGACGAGCGGGGTCGGGGGGGCCCCGGGGGGGCTCCGGGAGGGGTCTGGGAAGTCCCGGGGGGAGTCCGGGCGTCCCGGGGGAGGTCGGGAGTCCCGGGGTCGGTCGGGGGTCCCGGGGTCCCCCGGTGGCCCCCAGGGGCCCGAGGGGACACCCCTGGAAACTCAAGGGGACACCCCCGGGGACCTGCCCCCCGCAGAGACCTGCCTGCAGCCCCCCCGGGACCCCCCAGAACTCGCCCCCGGGGCGCACGGGGCCGGGCCGGGGGGGGGACACCCCAAAGGGCGGAGGGGCTGCCGGGGGGCGGGGGGGCTGCTCCGCTCCCCGCGGGGGTCGCGGGGCTGCCCCGGCCGAGGGGACGGTGACGGGCGGCACGTCCCCAGCGCGGGATTGCGACAGACAGACAAACCCTCCCTGACAGACAAACCCTCCCCGGCTTCCGCTGAATCACCCGAACACCCTCCCTGGCCCCAAAAGGGGCGGACCCAGGTGGGGACGGGGGGACTCGAGAGGGGTTGAGGGGACCCAACCCCAGGGCATCCCGGCAGGGCAGGAGGCCAATCCCACCCCCAAACTCCGTCCAACGCCCCCCTCCCCGTGACACTCCAGAAGCTGCTCAGAGACCGCCAGCAGCTCCCACTCATGTCATGAGTTGCTGGGTCTCAGCGCTCAGCCCGCAGGAGCTGTGGGGGATGGTCCTGGGGGGGGTCTCAGCCCCCAACTGTGCTCACCCACCCACGACACCCCAATATTTCTCCCCACAGCCGCGGTGCCATGTCGGCCGAAAACTGCGCGGTCCCGGCGCGGGACGGGCCGGAGGTGAAGGTCGGGGGGCACGGGAGGCTTTGAGGGGGCTGCGGGTGCCTCTGGGGACCCCCCCTCAGTGCCAGCCCATCCCCCCAGAGCGTGGTGACCCGCGTGGCCAACCTGGCCCTGGTGAGCTGTGCCTGCGGGGCCGTGGCCGCGGCGTACGAGAGCACCAAGGAGAGCCACCCCTGCGTCCGCTCCGTCTGCCAGGCCACCGAGAAGGGGGTGAAGACGCTGACGGCGGCGGCCGTGAGCGGGGCCCAGCCCCTCCTCACCC